GGAAGTAGTGTAGAGAAAATGGTCTCTCAAGAAAAAATTTCCACTGGGATATTGCCATCCACATTTTAAAAGCTAGGTTTTACTGAAATAATTTGGCATGTTCAGATAGGTCAAGAGGCTTCTGCTCCATAATTTCAAAACATAATTTGAAGCAAAACAACAGCCCATACCAAGGTTCAGGACAGAAGGAAATCCTGCTTCAATGTTTCAAGCAGAGTTCATGTGAAGCATAGAGGCTGAATTTGTTTTTAAACTGAGTTTCCTCTTTCCTGGGGTCTTTATAACTAAACTGAAGTAAAAGGCCATTTCGTTCTCCCCTTTCACATGTACCTTTTTCTTGGGGACCCTTCATTATTCTTAGTAGCCTCTGGCTTCTTCACCTCATTTTGATCCCTCCTCTGACCCACATCCCTTTATTTCTCATAAAGAAAAGAACCTTTTCTCTATTGGGTGGGGAATTGCTCTTCACTAACCAGCGCCCCTCTTAGAAACTGGGTGGAGCAGAATACCAATCACAATAGAGTAATACATCATTGTCATTAAACAGAAAGCCAGTCTGTCTGTGAATAAAGTCTCATCGTGTTTGTAAAGTTAGACACACCCATTGAGAAGACGCAAATGCATGCGTACTTTCACATGAGCTAAATTCTTCCTGGTAAAATTCTAGCCTGCCTTTGAAAATGCATCATTTACTAATCATGAAATGAAATATCACTGATAAAATTATTCACATTTCATATTTTGGTTGAAAATTCACATGAATTTTTGCATTTAAGCTTTTAAAATGTAAAGGAAAAAATATTGAGGAGGCTCTTTGGAAACAATACAAAAATAATAGTGGTGAAAACTTAAAAATAAGATTTGGGTGGGAACTACTTAGAGGTAACAGAGGAAAGTCTGACCCTGTCTTCCCATCTTTAAAAGACACTTCATTTATGTCCCTCTCAACTGAGCTTTACACATGTTTTCGCATATGTGTTTGTGTAATTTTTACCCAGTCTCCCAGTACACAGTAAATCTCCTTCAGCTTTTTGAACAGCCAGAGGAAAAAAAAGTAAGGCCAGAGAAACCACGTGCTGCCTGAAATTACTTAGTGTTTTTAAAAATATAGATATATAAAGAGACATAAACATAAAAAACAGCTGACATCTTCAGATGTTTCAGTATGACTCAACAAACACTGAATGCCACAATAGACCAGTCACTGGAGTGACAATTAGGATGAAATTAAGGGCCCTGTGCTAAAGACTCCAGGAACGCTTCCTAGAAGAGATGTGGCCTGAATTGAGTCTTGAGGGGGAAATGAACCATTTGAAAAAGGTGCCATCAGAGCATGTTCAGAGCACAGACTTGCCGGATTATCCAGGCAGCAAGTAATTTTTCGCAGCAGTGGTGAGATGTGTCAGAAGCAATTTGTTCAAATTGGTGAATACTGGCTTGAAAAAGGTCCTACAAGTAGTATGATACCTTGGGTTCTTTTGCTTACAAGCATATAAATGTATTTTTAATTACCTTAAGCTGAAATGGTGGACAGAGAGGAAGAAACTGCACTATCTCTGTTCCCAAGGTAAAAATGTAGTCAAGGCCCTCCCTGGTGGCGCAGTGGGTTAAAGCATAGCACTGAGAATCTAAAACCGCTTCCGCATGAGTTCGATTCCCGCCTGCCCTGGAGGTGACCACATGGCGTGGCAGACCTCTCCTGACCTGCCTGCTGCTCCCCTCAGCAGTGTACTTCGTCGATCTGCCTGTTCTGTTTCCCACTCAGTCTCTGGTGAAGCCTCTCACCGCCCCTGAGCTTCTGGCCTGTACCCCAGTTCTGTATGTACAAATAAATAAATCTTAAAAAAAAAATGTAGTCAAGCTTGGGAAAATATCGGGACCCCAGCAATCCATGTTCACAGTCTATCGCAGATCTTCTGCCAACCTTGTCAAGCAATCCCAAGATTAACACTCTGCTGACTGTAAGAGGCTCCATAAAATCACCAAAAATGATTTGACAGGAACTGATCACTGCAAACATGGGGGGAAAGCAGCAAAGTGGAATGAAAGAAATGATGCCCATCAAATAGCCCACTAAAAGAATTTAGACACGGCAGAGTGGAAACTGGGGAGGGGAGAGGGTTGCTGAGAAACCCTGAAGGAACACAGGCTATGTGAAGCTGTTTTTAACCAAGGCTCTAGCCATGAGTCCTTCTTAACCACATGCCTCATGGGTGATGTCAGCCTTAGTAAACCCAGTGTGCCAATGAGCAGTGTGAACTGAGCCAAGGACACATTACAACGCCAGAGTTAGGAAACCAGGTAGCAAGTTTCTGTGACCAAGGGAGATGATGAAAAGACAATACCTACTTTCCCAGGGGGTTATTATTAAGTGCTAGGCAATTTCCCAAGTGCTTAATGAATATTCATTCATTTGGAGAAAGCTATTATGTAAATTGGTTTCTAATGTTTTGTTTTTAAGATTTACTTATGTATACAGAACTGGGGTACAGGTCAGAGGTGTAGGGGCGGTGAGAGGATTCACTAGACACAGAGTGAGGAGCAGAACAGGCTGACTGACAAAGTACACTGCTGAGGGGAGCAGTGGGTGGGTCAGGAGAGGTCTGCCACGCCATGTGGATCACCTTGGGGGAGGGGATCGAACTCATGCTGCAGTGGCTTTAGCTTCTTAGTGCTGTGTTTTAATCTGCTGCACCGCTAGAAAGGGCCTTTAATAGTTTTTTATTGGCATCGTTAGGGTTTTCAGTGTATATTATTATGAAATCTGCAAATGGGGTGGTTTTACTTCTTTTCCTGTTTGGGTTCCTTTTATATCTTTCTCTTGCCTCATTGTACTAGTTAGATCTTCTAATACTATGTTGAATAGCAGAGGTGAGAAGGGACATACTTGTTGAGTGCCTGATCTTAGAGGAAAAGCTTTTAAGTTTCTTACCATTGAGTATGATTCTAGCTGTGGATTTGGCATAATTGTCCTAATTATGTGGAGGTAGTTTCCTTCTATTCCCATATTACTAAGATTTTTATTCATAAATGTATGTTAAACCTTATCAAATGATTGATATAATTATATGGTTTTTGTCTTTCTTTTTGTTAATATGGTGAATTACATTGATTGATTTGCATATGTTGAACCATTACGGTATCCCTAGAATAAATCTGACTTGGTCATGTTGTATGATTTCCTTAATGCATTGTTGCATTTGATCTGCTAATATTTTCTTGAGGATTTTTGTATCTGTTCATCAGGAATGCTGTTCTGTAGATTTCTTTTCTTGTGATATCCTTATCTGTTTTTGGTATGAGTGATGTTGATCTTTTGAATGTGTTTGGAAACATTCCCTTTTCCTGAGATTTTTGGAACAATTTTGGAAGGATAGGTGTTAGCTTCTCTTTGTTTGGTAGAGCTCACTAGTAAAACCATCAGGTCTGGGCTCTTGATCTCTCAGATGCAAGCAACAGGATCCCATTCAAACCAAACCAAGATAATCCCTAAGGGAATGAATTAACTTAAGTAGCCAGAAAGTCTAAGTCTAGGTATATAGCTTCAGGGGTAACTGGTTTACAACAGTACCTCCTGAGCCCACCTGATCCACAAAGAAGGATTCCTCCCTGGAAAAGGGAATGTCTCCTTTGCCAGAAAAAGGGAGGAAATTGCTGAACTGGCAGAAGTTAGTTTTAGTTCAGAAGTTAGTTTTACTTTTTTGTCTGCATTGCAGCCTTCGATCTGAGCTTGTTTGGATGAGGGCTTGCAACACTACATCATTCTTCCTTGGTCATGAAACCTCGTGATTGCAGGAAATCTACTTCAGTTACTTTAATGTTTCTCCATAATGAGCTTAGGAAAACAAGTAACCTGCTGCCTGGTTCCTGTTCTGCTTCCATGCTGTTCTGTTGTGATAGTCACCATGTAACAATCTATATTTTGGGGTGTGTATGTGTTGTGTGACTCAATTAGGACATAAATATTGTGAAAAATTATTATCAAAATCTCTTATGGGAGCTGAATAAAATGCCTTCTAGGCCCTCCCTGGTGGCGCAGCAGGTTAAAGCACAGCACTAAGAAGCTAAAGCCACTTCAGCATGAGTTCGATCCCTGGCCTGGGAAGTGACCACATGGTGTGGTGGACCTCTCCTGACCTGCCTGCTACTCCCCTCAGCAGTGTACTTCGTCAGTGGGCCTGTTCTGCCCCCCACTCTGTCTCTGGTGAATCCTCTTACCGCCTCTGCACCTCTGGCCTGTATACACCCAGCTCTGTATGTATAAGTAAATATATCTTTTTAGAAAAAAAAATGCTTTCTAAACATGGTTCTGGGTCTCATATTGCTGGACCTGCAAACCCTGATGATTCTTCATTCATGTCTGAATGTTTAAGTGCAGCAGTTCTTGGTCCTGTCCTGTTACAGTTATCTTTGCAAACCCATGAGGAATTGGATCTGCACTGGTAGCGTGCAGACGATGACTCTAATCCCTGGGAACCAGATAAATGTGCCCCACTGCAGGGCTGTAACTGGGGCAGGTGAGCACAGCTGACAAATATTCAACCCACTCCTGGCTTGACAGTAGCTGCTTCTACATTGGGAAGCCTCAGAGTATGACTTTGTTCTTCCTCCATCTGCCTCAAGAGAGGTTCGGCATCCTCCATAGTTTTTTGTTCCAAAATTAGGTTTGTTTATCCTCTCTGCTCCTTCTATTGCCTCTCCCCGCCAGCCATGAGAATGCTTTGTCTGAAGCACAGTAGCAGGAGAGTGGCTCTTGGTAACCATGGGCAACCATGAATCTGTACCAGCTATTTTTGCTATATTTGTAAGATACAATCTAGCCCCTAACTGGGTAGATGGGAAAATGTGCTTTAAGGATTTTCTTGTACAGTAAAATATTGTTTTACTTTTTTTTTTTTTTAAAGAATGACCAGTCCACGGAGGAGCTGAAGATAATTGAAAGCGAAAGTCTTTCAACACTGGCTGGCAAGGTTTGTTCATGTAACTCTGCTCAGTGTGTATTGATGTCGTGGGGAAATCAGTGACCTTCATTTCAGGTCAGCACTTGTGATACATTTCAGACGCTTTCCCGGGTTTGCTAATTCATGCAAATAGATGTGTGAATCCTTTTAATGATTTCTCCTTTATAAAACACTCCTTTTATAATGCGTCCAGGATGTGATGCAGCTTCCTTCCAGTCTTATTTCAGACAACCTTGTGTCACAAAACCCCTGGTTCTCCTTGTTCCCTTCCTTTTTCTGTTCACCCTTTCAGGTACTTCCTGAAAGGGAAGCCTTTGCCTTTATTTGTTTGCTTTTCCTCTCGCATAGGCTTCAGCACCTAAGCACTGCAGTTACATTGAAAAAGGTTTGCTAAAATGTTAAAATTTAGGGAGGGAATAGAACAGGTTCCTTATAGCATGTTTTCCAGTTCTTTGCCTCTTCTTCTTCCCAGGACAAAAAAAAAGTAAACTATTGGGCATATACCTCCAATTTTAACTTGGAGTTCCAAACCCATCAATGCTTAATATTAAATGAAAAATGGTTTAGATTCTGACATCAAGCTATATATTGGAAAGGAGAGTTGTTTCATAAAGCGGATGGTATTTGTGCAGTGTAATCTGAAACGCATGTTTTGCTGTGAATGAAAGCAACGTGAGATTAGTTTTCCTTCATCTCCATTGACAGATCTTTTCTTTATTATCTCTGAATGACTTCAGCTTTTTGAGTAAAATGGATCAGTCCATTATACAAGATTAATCTCTCATATTTGTTGTATTATTATGCAATGCCCGGATGGTGAAAAGCAATAGTGACCACATTTAATAAAAATGTGTATAATAACATTAGGAATACTACAGAAACCAAAGGACTGTAACCACAGAATAGTTCATTACCTTCAACTCTGGATACAGCATAACAGCATCCAAGTGTTAAAGTACCATCTAGTAATAAACTATGTTCCATAGAAATTGGAATTGATTTGTTGATGTTAATCTATCATTAGGCCAGCATTTGATGTTACTATACCAATGCTTAACATAACATTCTGGAAAGCTAAAATACTCAAGCAATTCCCAGAAATTCAGAGTTTCTAACAACCCTGGAGCCTTTAGTTGCTTTAGTATTTCGATGGATGCTGTTGTCTTTCTTATAGATTTATTATAAAAGAGAAATATGGTACCTGTGCTTTTACTATGGGGTCTCTCAACAGGGCCATTCTAAGAATCTCAAATGAATGATAAAAAAAAAAAATGCAAAGAATTGTAGATCTTCTCTCTTTCCTTCTAAAAGCAACCTTTCTCTCTTGTGATTTTCCTCTTAGGTGAGCAAGCTCTGGATATTCCCTTCCCTTAAGAGATAGAGAGGAAGTTAAGGAAGAGTCATTTCTTAGTGTGGTAAAGTGAGCAGAAGGTGGGGAGAGGACTTCATGCCACCTTTTATAATTACTGTACAGCCCCCTGTGAAAAAATCAACATCATGGAAGTTTGGGTGGGAGAGATGGGAATCCAGTCAGTCGTAAGGATGAGTAGGACTTAGCAGCAATTGTACCCAGACAAAGGATTCTCTCGGGGTGCCACTTTTACTTCTGCTATGCAAGACCCCCTTGACTTGAAACACACTGGGTAAATCCTTCTACATCAACATCACTTGGCCAAATTCTCAGTGGTCACAAATCTTTGAATTCTGAAGCACAAGACTCCCAGGCTCTCATCAGAAGGGAGTGCTTCATCAGCATGTGAGAACCACATTCTACTTTTCAAATGTATTTTGAATCTATCTTTCTGCTTTTCTCTGTCTCCATGGTCGTCACTGCAGTCCAGGCTCCTAACCACTCCGAGTGTGGTGGGGAGCAGAATCAACTTTTTAGGTAAGAGCTAGATAGTAAATCTTTTAGATTTTATGGGCTATGCAGTCTCTGTTGCAGTCAGTTAGCTGCTGTCACAGCATGAAAGCAGCCGTAGGTAATATGGAGACAGAGGGCATGACTGTGTTTTAATCTAACTGTATCCACAAAATTAAACATCTGACCAAATTCGGTCTGTGGGCTGTAGTTTTCCTCCTGTCCTTCAGATCTCAATCTAAAATGTCCACAGTGTTGGGGAGGCCTGTCCTGACCCACTGTCTACAATTAGTTCATGCTTTTCCCCTCTGTTCTTGCCCCACTCCCTACTAATCTCAATGCCAATACCCTATTGCCATTAGAGCTCTTCCCATAACTTGTAGTTCTTAAGACTATGAGTTATGCAGCCTTACAAATCAGTGTTTGTATATACTACATTGTGTTCACTACTGAAAATATAGTTTCCTCCCATCACTTAGCATTTGACCCCTTCACGCGCTCATTCCTATCTCCTACTCTTCTAATAGCCACTATTTTGTTCTTATAAGTCTAAAAGTTTGTTTTGGTTCTGATCATTCATTACTTCTATTGCTTTACCGCATGGAAAGCATATGGTATTCGTCTTTGTCTAAGGGATTATTTTTTTTTTTTAAAGATTTATTTATTTCTGCATACAGAACTGGGGTACAGGCCAGAGGTGCAGGGGCGGCGAGAGGCTTCACCAGAGACAGAACGGGGAGCAGAACAGGCAGATCAACGAAGTACACTCCTGAGGGGAGCAGCGGGCGGGTCAGGAGAGGTCTGCCACGCCATGTGGTCACCTCCGGGGCAGGCGGGGATCGAACTCATGCGGAAGTAGCTCTAGATTCTCAGTGCTGTGCTTTAACCCGCTGCGCCACCAGGGAGGGCCCTAAGGGATTATTTTTTATTTGCTTTATCTCCTACCACAGTGACAGTGTCCTGTGGGCAGAGGACAATCTCTCATTCTCCGTTCTTTTTCTAGCATGGTGCAAGCGATGCAAAAGCATTTGGCTCTTCTTCGTCTAGAAATCAAAAAGGCGTTTCATTTAAATTTTGAAAAGGGCGGTCTAGTGAAGGAAAATGTTGACTAGAAGCCTACAGCAAAGGACACATAGACCAGCTGGTTGCTTTAGAGCTGAAGAAGGGTACTGCATGCAGGAACATTCTTTTTATAGAGGCAGGAAGGTTTCTATATTGCAAGAGATTCAAGGAGGGACTACGGTGTTGAATGCCATACAGCTAAGGATGGGGGAATAAACAAAAATATCTTAACTTCTGAGATTTCCTATTCATAAAACATAGAAAAGCATTCATATGGCCTGCCCCACTCAGCCATTCTTCATCCTTTCAGAAAAAAGCTATCCATTAAGATCTTGAGAACTTTAAAAATAAATTTTCAGAGGTCCTTTAGAATTTTCCCATCATACAGAATCTTTTAAAAAAGGCACCCAATAATTTCTTGGAACTGTTTTTTAAATTTTTTATGTATTTATTTACATTATTCATTTTATAACAATGCTTACTTCCCCCACCCCCTCTGATCATCACCCCATATTCCTCCCTCCTTCTGATCCCACCCTGTCCCCCTCACCTGTAGGATCTCTCTGGTTTATAATTGTCTGTTTTTGTTGTGTTTGGTATTGTAATAGCAATATGCTTTTGTTCCCCTGTCTTATTTGGTTCTCTTAAATCCCTCCCATAGGTGATACCATTCAATATTTTTCTTTTTCCTTCTGACTTATTTCACTAAGCATAACCCTTCTAGCACCATTATTGTTGCTGCTAATGGCATGACTTTCTTTTTGATTGCTGAATAGTATTCCACTGTACATATATACCACATCTTCTCGATCCAATCATCTAGTTTTGGGTATTTAGGTATTTGTTGATGCAATAAACATAGTGGTGCATGTATCTTTTTGAATTAATATTTTTGTGTCCTTGGTGTAGATTCCCTAGGAGTGGAATTGCTGGGTCGTATGGTAGCTCTATTTTAGTAGTCTGAGGAATCTCTATACAGCTATCCATAATGGGAACAATTTTTGTTAATGGTGGTTCTAGAAGAAATCCTGAACCTGCAATAAATATCTGCATTGGATGGAAGGAGTGTTAGTAGTAGTCAGCATCTAACTTCTCCCTTCTCATATAATTCTATGGTTTCTCAATCAACAAATTTACACGGAGGTTAGCCTATCTTGGTATTATTAGTCTGCTGTGAACATCTATATACCTTCTGTTATTTAACATTCAGCACATAGAGAAGAGCAACTAGGGTCAGTCCACACAATACTCTTTCCTTGAACTTAAAGAATGATTCCTTGGGACTATAATTGTTCTAAAAGAGGAGGATGTGGTTTTATTTGGACCAGAAGGCCCAGGAATAACAGAAGAGGGATTAAGGGCAGTAAGGGGTGAAGGAGAGAAGGAGGAGAGATAGGGAGGGGCCTATGTGGCTGAAGGAAATTAGACCAAAGTAGGGGGAAAAATAATAAACACTAAAGATGTGAATTGGGTCTGGACTGTAGAATACAGTGAATGTCTCAAAAAAGCTTAATATGCTCAGAAAAACAAAGAGTCACAAAAGTTGTTGAGCAGAGGCGGCATCAGAAAGCTGTGTTCTAAGAAATGGCCTGAGGGTAGGGTACGGTGGAAGGGAAGGAAAGGAGAGAAAATCCAGGTAGAGAAACCAGATACCAGGTGGTATAGAGTAATTCATAAAAGCTTTTAAAACATGGGAGAATAACCTCCCTGTGTAATTTTTCCATGCCTGATAAGCCCTGTTACTGTACTGTGTAATTTCTTGAGCCATCCTAAGACTTGCAAGTTAAAATATTTAGGGAAAGGAGACTAGAGAACTCCCAAGCTACTTCTTATATCTTTCTTCCTTCCTTCCCTTCTTGCCTTTTTTTTTTTTTTAAGCAAAGGAAAGCAGCTCACAAGGGAGGCTGGCTGAGTCATGGTTCTAAATAGGTCATCCTTGTTAAATAAAGGGAGCCCTCAATGATTAAGTTAAATGGCCTCTTCGACTCACAACGTTAAAAGCATTTTATTCAGCTGTCTGCACAACAGGCTCTCTGGCTGATGTTTTTCAGAGTTGATTTAATCCTGGCACTTCATAAAATGTGTG